TACCCACCTCGGAAGGATGGAAGGCTGAGTCAACCCTGAGCCGGTGAGATTTGAACCGCTGAACTGCTGATCTAGCAGTCAGCTGAAGTGGCCTGAAGTACTGCACTCTACCCACTGCGCCACCTCGGCTCAAAGCAAAGCTGGCACTGACCTCTCCCCTCCTGGCAACTCCTCCGCTCCAGCCGTACCCTTCTTTTTAAAATAACAATAAAACCCTGACAAAAAATGTTTTCTCTGACCAGCACCAGTCCGTAGCTTCCTCCAACTGGCCCACAATTCCCATCCCTCCCAGCCAACAAAGTCCTGTCGTAGATGATAGAATTCGTAGTCCGAAGACTCAAGAAGGGAAAGCCCCTGTCAAAGAAGGGCTTGTGAAGGATCTGGGGGCCAGTGAGGCACGGGGGGAAGAGGGCTTATCTGCCATGGAGCAATGCCAACAGCAGGCCTAAGCAGAGCTCTCCCTCGGAAGACCAGCGCAGGAACAGAAGGCTGGCACTGATGCAGAACGTCTGCCTAAATCTGAGTAGGATGTGGCTGTTTCAAACCAGACTTTGTGAGTTTCAGAAATAACGCAAGGATAGCAATTCAGTGTGCTGCACTTCCCATAAGACACATCGCTCTTTGGAAGCTTTGGCACACAAATGCAATGGTCAGTTGGCTAACGACAACTGTTGGGGTTGTCAAACTATTGCCAAAGTCCAACCCTGCAGCAAGTTTCATAAAACTACTGGACACTTGACCATCTGGAACTCCTTCCCTAATTTAAGGCTGCATCGTGCCCATAAGTCCTGCCTGGAACCAAGCAAGAGGCTCCCCAACTCACCAGCGTAGAATGAAGCCTATTCATCTCATGAGCCGGCTTTGGGAGTCTGTCCTTCAGGCTTTCTGTCTGCCAAAACAAAAGAGGGACTGAAATACAGCATTCATTTATTACACAAGGAGCGTGGAAGTGGTAAGTTAAATTCCACCCGTCAACTTCTGCTTTACAAGTTGCTCAGTTGTTTGAAGTTTGGCTCTGGTCTCTACTCCAGTTCTCTACTTCTGCACTTCATAGTCAACACAGCTCAGTTTTTAGCTTCTAAATTTTTCATTCCGACTGGCGTATCCCAAACATCAGATTCATGAACTGAATTCTGTCAGCCAGCCCTTGGAAAAGTCATCTTAAGCTTCAGCTGCCAGTTCCTTGGTGAGCCAAGAGGAAACACGGATGGAAGCATGGAAATGCCCGTCTTGCATCCCCAGCCTGCCCTATGAGGTCAGCCGTGAGAGCAACTCTTCCAGTGTTTATTACAAGAACAGGAAGCACAAGACACAACTGGGTTTCACCAGAAACTGAGTAAAGGGGAATCTTTCCACCTCTTTCCATCTACAGCAGAGTCATAAGATCCTGCGCAATAAGGAACAAGCCAAGCCCACAAATACTATCAGAGTGCTGAGAAAATTTCATGCAAACAGTCAGGCCCAGAGCAGGAGATGACAGAACTTCTTCACCTGGCCTGGGAAAGGCAGGGCGGGAAGCCGAAAGGAGGCAGGGAAGGCAGACTCACACCTTCTGGCCTTTTCTAAGATCATTTCCGGCAACCAAGCCCAGCTGCAGATCCAAAGGGCCATTTCTCTTCAAGCCGTGGCTGGAAATGAACTAACTCAAGTCCCCTTTTCTGGGCCGGAAAGCGGAGGGATTCAACGTATGTCCAGAGGTTCCTATCTGCTGCAGATTAACCAAAAGGGACCCAATTATGTGCTGATTAAGCATTTAGGCTGGCAAGCTGGAATTGTTTTGGAGATGGGGGAGGGGGGAGAGAGAGGGAGGGAGGGAGAAGGAAAGAGAGGGAGACACAGAGACTGACTTAGCACTCCCTGAATCAGGAAGGCACAGGTAGAACCATGGAGTAGAAGTTCCAGGGTGTTTTAAAAGCTCTATGCAAATTTTCACTACACATTTTGGGTGTGACTTTCTTTTAGTGTCTGTCCCCCCCCCCCCATTTCTTAGTTGCATTTATTTATTTATGCACACTGTTTTCAGTGTGGTTTTAGATAGTATGCCAGGGCACATAGACACATTGGCCCATGTTAAAGTGAAACGAGCTCAACGTATTACACAAGTGCAGGTGTTTTGCCTTTGGACACGGTGATTAAGCGTATTGTACAAACACAGCCTTTGGGCCTTGGCATTCGACAACCTTCAAGAGTGACGTTGAGCCACAGAGAAGGCGAAAAGGGCGCAGGAGATAGTAGGATGATGCTAGGACGGGGCAGAAGGGTGGGAGGCAAGACTCCTCTGGTCCTCTCCAGCCACAGGGGATGCATATGGGGGCAGACTGGGGAGAAAGGAGGGCTGGTCAGGGATGCCAGCAAAGGGCACCAAAGTCCTCTGGATTTTCCTCTGAAGGAGAAGTACCTTGTTCTGCAGCTGCGCAGCCTGGGGGCTGGGGCCACTCTCTCGCACAGCCAGTTTCTCCTGCAGCAGCCGTAACTGTTGCTGCAGCTGCAGCTTCTCCTCCTGCAGTTGAGCGCGGGACTCCACCAGCTTCTGCACCACCGGGAGACGATGGGGGCCACCCGGGAAGCTGCTCCGCTTCCCCCCAAAGACTCTTCCTCCTGCCACAAAAGAGGGAATTGAGCAGAGCGGCAGCCAGCCTGGTCAGCAGCCTCAGAGCCAGCAGTGAAATCAGGAAGGGCAGCAGGCAGAAAGTGGCCTTCAGTGCTGCAAGGGCCCCAGCAGAAGGTCCAGCAACGACAGCCCCCCCCCCCCCCCCCCCCCCCGGCGCCGCGGCGGCCGGAGGGCAG